TCAGCAGGAGTCAAATTAAGTTGGTTCTTGTATACCCGGCTAAGGATCTTAGATTGCATTCTGAGTCCAATGGGAATCCACTGGAGGATTCCAAGCAAGGAGTGGCTCTGTATTTTCTAATGAGCTCTCCAGTGGAGGGTGAACTACTGAAACCTAAGAGCAGCAGGAGGAAGAGGCTCAGGATGGGAAACTGTTGCTATAGTCCCTGTGAGTGGTGAAGGTGGTTTAGATTAGAGAGTAGTGAACAAAATGGAGGGGTTAGGTAGATCTGTAATATGCTGTGGTAGTTTTAACTCACAGGACTGCTAAGTAGATTGTGTGTGAGGAGTGAAATTGGAAGTTACCCTAGAGCTATTTAGTAAGGATATTGACTGGTTCTCAAATTAGTGAACTACTATGACTCCAAACTCTAGAACTGAATAAGTGTCCTCTGGAATTCATGTTATAGAAATTTCTTGGCAATTATGTTCTAAGAACAAATAGAAACAATTATTCTTTGGTGATTTCATCCAGTTTTCTTCCAGTCTTGTGCTTTTAAAATATCATCTATATAGCAGATGACTCCCATATCTTCAATTTTCAAAGGGGCCTCCTCCTCTGTCTTCAGACCTATTGCCTCTGTTTCTCATGTCTCATTAAAAAGTAGTGTATCTAGTCTGAGACATGACTCAGCAGTTAAGAGGACCTGAGTTGGTTTACCAGTATTCATGTTGGGGAGCTCACAACTGCTTTTATCTCTAGTTCCAGAGAATATGATGCACTCTTTGGGCCTCCATGGGTATACATACATGTATTACATCCTCACACAAGCAGACACATATACATGTGTACATAAATAAATGTAGTTTTAAAAATAATCTTCTCTAAAAGTAGCATAATGCCTCCCTCCTGAAGCCCAGTCTAGCCAGTTGCTCAATTAGAAGACTTCAAATAATTTTCAAACTGACCTCCCTGTTGACAGAGGTTTCTGTCCTGCCCAGTCCTGCAGTCATTCAGTTCCAACGAAATACACAGTGGTCTACATTAATCATAAACTGGGTGGCCTATTTGCTCAGGCTTGTTATTAACTTTTACATCCTACATTAACGCATAATTCTTGTCTGTGTCAGCCACATGGCTTGGTACCTTTTATCAGTGAGGCATTCTCATCTTGCTTCCACTGCTTCTGGGTTACAACTGGAGACTGAGTCTTTCCTCTTCCCAGAATTCTCCTGTTCTCATCACTCTGTCACCACTTCTTGCCTGGTCACCCCACCTATACTTCCTGCCTGGCTACTGGCCTACTAGCATTTTATTAAAGCAATACAACTGATAAGTCTTTACAGGATACATGATCATTTTTCCGCAGCACCTCCCCACTACCATTGTGCATGTGTGTATTTGGTATTTGTGTGTATACTCCAAATATACATATTGTGTGTGTGTGTGTGTGTGTGTGTGTGTGTGTGTGTGTGTGTGTGTGTATGGTCTTTCAGGAAGCCTACATTCAAAGTGCATTCAGAATTGACAATTCCTCACTGTTACTACCTTTGTCTCAACCACCATCATTCCTATCTGAACTACTTGAAAAGGATTGCAAACTACTTCTGCCACTTCTATCATGCTCCAGTATTTAACCCATATCAGTAGATTGTTAGAATAAGCTTTAAATATATGTTAGAACCTGTTTTAGTCTTGTTAGGTTGCTATAAGAATATGTCATAGATTAAAACTACTTTTTACAATCTGGTGGTTGAGAAATTGAAAAAAAATAAAAGGAAACTGCCAACACATTGAATGTCTAGTTGACAGCCCCTATTTGTTTTTTGAATGGCTCCTTTTTGCTGTGCGCATACATGGCAGGAACAAGGAAGTTCTTTGGGGTCTCTTCCCTTCTATCGTATTTTCTCATTTATTTTCTGGTAGTTTTAGATAAAGTTCTACTATGTAGTTCAAGATGACCTCAAACTCCAAACTTTATTACTGTTATTTACCTTCCAAGTACTGAAATTACAGACATGCTACTGTGACGTGCTGTAATGAATTTATTTCAGGAAGGCTTTGCCCTTTGGTCTATTTACATCTCTCTTCCTAATATCATCACCTTGGTGCTTAAGTTTCAGTGTATGAATTTGAAATGAACCTGTTCATTCAGAATGTTGCAGGTTCTATAAGTAAATTTTCTGTAGAATATAATCCAATAGCTCCTAAATTCCCTTAGAATGAAAGTCAAAGATTGTGTATGAGCTCCTTCTCTGACATCAGGTCCCACTCAGAATATTAAGAAATGTTTTCTTTAAGACTCTCTGCTAATGGAATGCTTCTCATCAAAGATCTTTAGTTGAGTTTTAGTTGTTCCCCAGAAACATATACAAATAAAAGGCATAATGGTCCCGCAATCGACTATAAATATTCTCATAAACAAAGGATGGCTTTTAAAAGAGTTGAAATGATGAGTGAGCCAAAATTCAAAGGGTAAACAGTGGTAGGGGGCAACATGTTGGACTTGTGTCCCAGAATTCTTGGCCAAAGGAAATGTACACAAAAGAATTACAGAATTCCATTTCCTGTGCTCTGATGACTCTGTTTATTCCACTCTGTTTAGATGGATGAAACCTATATCACTTCAGCTTGTAACATTTTGGGTGCTGTGAATTTTTATGAATTTGTAAATGCTAGCTATTGTTTTATTAGCACTTTGGAAAGAATAGAGGAATATCTTTTAACTAATTGTGCACATGTATTTTAAGAGTAGAATCCTGGAGCAGGGTGCTTGGAATGATACCTTTTTGATGACTTTATCATTTCCCTAAATATTGGTATAAAGAGATCAATAAATAATTTGCCTGAAAATTTGTTAGCATGTGGCCCAATTCAGGAAAATGGCTTAAGGTATTACATCAAGAAGTACTTAGACCAGGTGGTGGTCGTGTACGCCTTGAATCCCAGCAGTTGGGGTGCAGAGGCAGGTGGATCTCTGTGAGTTCAAGGCCAGCGTGGTCTACAGAACAAGTTTCAGGACAACCAGGGCTATTAGACAGAGAAATCGTGTATCAAAAAAAAGTAGTTAGTTACTATTTGGGTCATTACAACAATTATGTTGAAATTATCATATCTTAGTGATCAAAATTCTGTTATGTAAAGTTGAGAATGAATTTAAACCAATATCCATAATTTAAGATTCAATAGATTTTTCCTAACTTTTATGGTATAGGATAATAATTTGTTATTCTTTGTTCCAAGTAAAAATGACTTGGTTTTTATTATAAATTTAAATAAGTTCAGATGATACAGATTAGTCATAATAAGGCCAAATAATCATTTGACTTTCTAGAGAAAGTTTTCTTATTATATAAGTATATTGTTGCCATTTTCTATTGTTTTATATAAATATAAGCCTAAAGCCAAATCAGGACTGTACATATGGGACTAGAGAGATGGCTAAGCGATTAGAAGTATGCATGTAGCATTCTTGTTACTGAGTTTGCTTCTCAACACACACACACACATCAGGCAGGTCACAGCTGCCTGTGACTTCAGCTCTAGGGGAGCTGACACCCTCTTTTGAGTTTTATGGATATGGCACTCAAATGCACATACCCATACACAGACTTAAACACACACACATAATTATAAATAATAAAAACAAAATAAAAATCTTTTTTAAAAAATTGTACATACTGTGTTATAACCTTCTTTACAGTCTATGTCAAGAACATATTTCTATCACTTCTAATATGGATCTAAATAACCTCTTTTAATATCCACTTAATAAGTGACAATGATGCCTTTTACTTTTCTTAAAAATATACTAGTAGATAAAAATCAGTCCAGGTTTATCTTAATGATGTGGGATTCTCTTCTATATGCTGTGAATATGTTTTTATTACCATTGGTTATTAAAGAAGCTGCTTTGTTCTGTGGCAGGGCAGAGTAGAGCTAGACAGGAAAACTAAACCCCATGAAGGGAGAAAGAAAGCAGAGTTAGGCAGATACCATGTAGCTAGCTGCCAAAGGAGACAGATACAGAAACCTTACTGGTAGGCATCAGCCTCATGGTGATATACAGATTAATAGAAATGGTTTAATTTAAGATATAAGAGCTAGCTAGGAATACGCCTAAGCTGTTGGCCAAACAGTGTTGTAATTAATATAGCTTGTGTGTGATTATTCAGATCTGGGTGGCCAGGAAACAAACGAGCAGTCTTCAGTTACATCTTAAACATTTAAATGACATTTAATTTAGGAACTACAAGGGCACCTTATTTTATTGATATGTTGTTGAAATAGGAGCGGTGGGGCTGCGTCCCCAACACCCCGGCCGCTTGGCTAGCTCATGCCCGAAATAACAACACACAAACTGTACTCATTTAAGAACTGCTTGGCCCGGCTAGTTCCAGATTCTTATTGGCTAGCTCTTACATATTGTTCTAACCCATTTCTAATAATGTGTGTAAGCACCCCAAGGTGTGCTTACCGGGAAGATTCTAGCCTACTCGGAGGAGCTTCATTGCGTGCATCTGCCCGGGAGAGCTGAGCATGGTGTCTCTCTGGAAGCAGAGCAGAGTCTGACCTCCCTTCCTCTTCCGCCCAGAATTCTATTCTGTTTCCTCCTCCCATCTATCTTTTAACCTATCAGGGCCAAGGAGTTCCTTTATTGCTTAACCAATGAAATCAACAGATTGATATATGACACTCCCACATCAATATGTATCAAACACTAAAATACAAAGACCTTCAAATATTCTGAATTAAAGGTGGTAGTGGTCTTAGCTACCAAAAAAAACTTTGGTAGCTACATCAAAAATTTATTGAACTTCTACCAACCCCCTGGAAAATTAGATAGCTGAGATTTCCTGCTTTCAAAGAATTTCTATTCTGAGAGGGTCCAAAGTAGAACTAGTAAGAAATGAAGATAGCATCAGCTTCTGAAGCATACAGGATAATAAGTTTTAAGGTACTATGTAAACTGGAATTGTGGTTCTGAATTCTTTAAATGTAGTCAAATTATATGCTTTCAGGTTTGAAGACAAAGAACAACAAATCGATTACGGGATATTTTTCTCTGTCCTGAACTGGAGAATGAATCCAACACCTGAAATACAATCCCCACCATACCTTAAAGAGGTAAATTTTATGCTTGCTTTAGAAATCAGTTTTGTATACCTCCCTTATATTTCTAAAATCTTGTGTCTTTAATTTCCAGTGGAATGTAGCAACATCATTGTTTTTGGAAAAAGTATAATCTAGGAATTTCTGTTGAAGGCTACCTCACTTTCCATGCTGAGCAAACATCTGCCCTAGAAGAACAGGACATTTCTTTTGTAGTTGAATAGTATTTAGCCTCAGTTGTATCCAGTTTTATAGAAAACGGGATGATAGGTTATAGTTAAAAATGGATATAAACACCCCTATCAAGGGATTCTGGTAATACCATCATAATCTATAATAGCAAATCTCAGATGGTATCTATGTCAAGAACCCTCAGTATAGTGTATGGAGATTTAAATTTTATGGTGGAGCCATTTTGAAAAGAAAAATTCAATAGAAAAATGCTTGGTTTGGAAAAACAAAGTTCACGTGATCAGATGGGGCCTCAGCATTGTGGAATCATCTGATCTCTCTAAGATCTCTTCAGCTATCTTTAAGGAGTATTTTAACATGCTCCAGAAATTTATCTTCTTAGGAAAGTTCCTTGATAAAGCAAATGTCAGTGGTTGATAATTCCAGAAAAGAAGTATTTATTCTGTCTCTGCTGGCCAACTCATTCTGGCCCAAGCTTGCCTAGTGCCTCTGGCAGTAGGCCTCTCAAGCACACAGCTTCTCTGAAGTGTCAGTGGAAACCTTAGACCTTCCAGTTGGTTGAAAGACAGTATTGGCCATAATAGTCTACAGAGGTGGGGTTTAAATCTGGCTCCTTCACTTATCTGATTGATATTAGGTAAATTAAGTCCAAAACCTCATTCACTCATAGCCCATAACCTTCAGATAAATAAGGCTAAGGATCCACTCTCAGCATGCCCTCTGCTTTGTGCATTCAAAGATAACTACCCCCCTGAAGGAGCCCATTTCTAATGTGGAATCAATGCCTCCATGATTTGGGGTCTGACTTAATACAACCTGCATAGGATGGTGTGAAATGAAAATAGTTTCTTCTCAATCAGGATGAGGAAGAAGGTCTCATTTGACATATCAGCGATGAAAAAGTTAGTAAGGGAGGAAAGTAACATGATACGGTGGCACAGCAAAGACATTACTAACAGAGCTCTGGGACCTGAGGCAGCCTGGCACTGGAGACTGCTGTGGATGGAGTGAGGCCTATAGGAAAGAGTGGAGAAGGATGAGGTTGGAGATGCCTGCAAGGGTGGGAGAGGCTTTCACTATTCAGATTAGGCTGACCTCAGAACTCATAGCCAGCCTCTGCCTCCTGAGTGCTAGGATTAAAGGCATACACTACCATGCCTGGCAAATCAGTGTTCTTCTCTCTCTCTTTTGACAACTTTTTCAAAGTAATTTCTAATACTTGTGGTAAAATTTAACAAGTGAAACACAGAGTTAATACTTGTTCTCATTATGTTAAAAATACCTAGTAAATACTTGCTAATTGTCTAACACCAAACAATAGCCTAGTAGAAAATGATATTTTGGGGATATGCTATGATATAAAACATTGAGCGACATCTAATTGAATCATATGCAAACCCATCACTAAAGTTCACAAAGAACACTTTAAAAAAAAAACCCACCTTCATTTTGCCTGTAATTTTGGAACCCACAGCTCAGATAAGATGGCAGCTCAGCCAAAGGGAAATAGTTGTAGAACACTGACTATAAGAAGACACAAATGAATAGGAATATTAGTGAATCTAACTTCATACACGATTTTTTCTTGTGTTTTCAGGATGCTATTGATTAGCTCAAGAAGTATTTAGAAAATCCTCTTTTCAAAATGAACTTCCATTTGATTTGCTAAAATTTAATTCTTTTATGGTTTTGCACCTAATGTGATTATTTCTAAGGCTGTGTAGCACATAGTAGAAGACATAAAATAAAAAAAATAAAAGGAGGAAGAAAAAAGGGAGAAAGGAAAGAAAAAAGTTTATTCTATGTGTGGTATTGGATTTCTATATATTTCCAGATATGTCCCATAGAAATACTCTTTTCTGAAAAGGAAAAGGAAAAGAAACAGATCCTTTTCTAAGTAACTACAGGGGAATAACATGATGAAATACTAACATGAGTCTATCAGCCTTACATTTGGGGAAAATAAAAATAACCCCATTGCAGTGAAGCATGGAGTTTAATAGGCTCCCAATCCTTTTCCCTCATGCATCCGGTGGCCAGTGCTACAGTAGAAATTTTTAAGCTAGAAGAAGACATAATCCAATTAAATTTCCTTTTAAAAATGTCAAAGCAAATACATCCAGGGTCTATTAGTTCACATATAACTTTGCTATTCCTACTGGGCAGCTGTTGTTTACTGGGTTTTCATCTATTGCCATTTTCACCTCTTATTTCAGGATGCTTGGTATGTGTACACACCACACACACACACACACACACACACACACACACACACTCATATACACACAGAATAGCAGCTATAGTCTTCCCCATTGGTGAATAAGTAATTTACTGCTAACTTCTTTGACATCCTAAGTGCTCTAGTGACAGCCAACTTGGAATATGTTATAGCAGAAAATGCTCTGTGGCACATACTATTGAATGTTCCAGATTACATTAAGTTTCACTGTGAGATTTGAACGTTGTCTCTCATTTTAGCTGTAAATCACCTTGGGAACTGGACTCGTCCACCATTTTGCTGGTAGTTGCTTTGTTCCAAGATGTGTCAGAGACTCTCACATGTTCTTAACTCTGATAAATGTAAAACTGCTTTTTGCATTTAGAAGCAGTGGTAGAGACGAGGATTTGGTTGTTAAGTAGTTGGGGGGGAGGAAATTAAATCCCCAGAAGGGATTAGAAAGAGTGACAAAGGAAGAGAGGGAGTTACTAAAGAGTGTGTTATTAACCCAGTTACATATGCAGATGGCCATGGCTTAATGCTGCTGGGAAACGCTAGGATCTAACAGGAACATATACCTCAGAATTAATTAGCCTGTGCAAGGAAGCTATGGTATTACTCCGTTAGTTTCCTTTAGACAGTCGTTACACGTGGGCTACTCTTGAACGTAGAGGAAAGGAATAATTCCCTAGCACTTATGTGTGCCACAGGGTCAGCCAAAGTAAGCCTCAGAGGCCAACAAGAAGCTCTGGTCAATGGAAAAGAGATGCTGGCAGTTGGAAATCAGGCTGCTGTGAGCCAGACTGGAAAGGGTAATAGGCTAGGGAGGGACAGTGGCAGAGCCTGTCACACATACTTAGGATTCCAAAAATGTACTGTCAGGGACCTGTCTTACAGAGACACAAGCAGACATGTCTTGTCCTCATCTGGAATGGGAGGCATCACTATCTGTGGATGAGCTGTCTTTTTGTCATAGGATTGCCACTTGCATAAAGTTGTTCCCCTGTTCAGTTCACTTGCATGGGCTGGGAGTGTAGCTCCAGGGTAGAGCACTTGCCTAAGGTGTACAAGGCCGGTGTTCCATCCTCTGCAAGAAATAAACTACATCAAAAGCTTACTACTGTGAAGACCATGTGCTCTGTCGTTTGTACTGAGTAATTTAGTAGGAATAAAAAGTCAATAGTTTAACTCAACACCCACATTTTTATAAACCTTCTATGATGTTGGAATGCTTGCAATTTTATCAGAAAGAACAATAGGTCAGTGCTAGTTTGGGGTTTTCTTAGATACCCCCAAAGTTTCTTAAAAAGGAAACAAAAGGACCAGCTATGTGTCTGAGTATAGACAAAATTAAAAAGGAGGTACCTGTCCTTCTGTCGCATCGACACCCCCAGTCACACTGCCTGGGTGTTTAAAAATCTTCCTGCGTCTAAGTCTCTCTTTCAATCCCAAATGTGGTCCCTTAGTCTATTTTCAGCTAATACTTGAGAAAATCCCCCTAAAATTGATGGATGGCAGTGGATGAACCCTAGTCCATTAGGCACTGTGTGTGTCTCTGTGGTATTTATCAGAAGCCACTACAGCTAGCAACCTAGGGATTGGGAATAAAGGAGAAAAAGAAATGATGGTGGCAAATGGTATTGAATGGAAACAAAGAGCACAGCATGCCAGGAAAAGTCAAAAAGCTCTGCAGGAGTCCTAGGGTTCAAAGGGGTCAAGATGGAAAGAAATGAACTGCTGTTATCTTTTTGCCTCAAATTACCCTTCTTTTTAATTCTGGCTATTTTGCTTGACAGCCTGTTACTAATAAATTTGGTTCTCATATCTAAAGTTTTGAGTTATTATTCAAGTATAAATTCTTACCATTTTATCTTTTATTGGTAGCATTTAAATCATAATTTCATGCTAAAAACAATATAAACAACAGCTACTTTTTGTGCCTAATAAAAATGAGGGAGGGGTCTAGAGAGATGACTTAGTAGTTAAAAATCACTGGTTGTTCTTCTAGATGACCAGGGTTCAATTGCCAGCAATTTCCTTGTGGCAGTTCACAACTGTCTGTAACTTCAGTTCCAGGGGATCTGGCACCATCACATAGACATACATGCAGACAAAACACCAATGCATATAGAATACAGATAAATAAATTTTTAAAAAATGAGGGAAGATCATTAATACTGACCTGTTTCATGAGTGTTCCTATAGTAAGTCATCATAATTATGTGAGTGGCATACTATGTTTTATTTCTTTGTGTATTTAATTTTTATTGAAAAATATCCCATGAGGGAATAATGATTTTGAATATGTATGATTTTTTGAACCATTTCTCTGTGCTCAGATTAAATGCTAAAATGCTACCTAAAAACAGGCATTGGTTTGAATTTTATGAAACTTTTGAGGATGTATTGAATATTGGAGTTGAATGACATACTGAGCTCATCTTTCATTGATTAAAATACCATGTTTACTATATCCAGATTGAGTTCCTAATTTTTACAATGAGGCATGGCATGTCACTAAGGTCCATGTCATATGAACTGTACAGAAGATCCTTTGGAATCAGTGTTACTATCATCTCTCTGAAGCACCATTTACTGCCAGTTG